GGGAACAGAAGAACAGGGACACCCAGCGTCCATGTGAGGGGGGAGGGGTCGTCACGTTGCCCGTCGCATGTTTGAGCAACTTTTTAAATCGTTCCCATTGTGACAGGAGTTTCAAATCTTTTTGCTTTTGCCACGTTACACAAATCTGCAGCGTTGGCACTGATGCACCAAAGACTCTGAGTTTGTCTCAATGTGAGGGAACTAGAGACTAGTTTGCAGATGTTCCTGAAATGTGGAGTTGAAATAAGTTGAGGTGGTTTTGCAGAACTCCTCTTCATGATCACTCTCCACATCTTTCCTTGACCTGGACCTCACAAATGACGTTCAGCCTCATTAGAACTGAGCCTCTGTGAGATCGACTGGTCCTGAGAACGTTTGTCTTGTTTCTGAACAGGAAACAAAATGAAAACACGCACACGTGCTTATGATGATGATGATGATGATGATGATGATGGTGGTGGTGTGGGGGGAAAGACCTGGAAGCTTGTAAATAAAGCTTTATTTACATTCTATTGCAGGAGACATGTTGACAGTAGCTAACGTTGGCTGCTAATTGTTGTTTTCTAAGGCGGCGTGGTGGTGCAGTGGTTTGTTGCTCCACACACGAAGGTTGGAATCCTGGTTTGGCCGTGGTCTTTGCGTGTTGAGTTTGCATGTTCTCCCTCCGCCTCTGAAATGATCAGAACGCTGAATCGACACCTGTGCTCAGGTTAGAGCTGCTTTGAATTCTTGACATATTTGTGAGATACCGTGCATGAAAATATTCTCTTATCTCCTCCTCTTGTCTTCATCCTTTCCTCCCTTCCTCCCATGTAAATCCCCAACTTCCTATTGAAGCTCTCTCTCCACACACACACACACACACACACACACACACACACACACAAAGCCACAGCCTTGACCTCTTATCTTTTCCAAGCACCTAAACCATCTGACTTTATTTAGCATCTTGGCTCGTTACATCACAGAAACTTTCCCTGACCACAACAGAATTTCAATGTTTCCAAGAACAGCATCAACATCAGCTTCTTGTTCCGTCGTCGTATTAAATGTGTTGTAGCCGAGTGGAAACACACACATGCATGTGAGTTACAGTTGATTTTGTTTATGGTGGTAGTTTATCCATTGGATGATTTTCACAGTTAACGTGTTTGTGATTTGTTTCCTGAATCGTCCTGGAGCTCGACACCGACACCCTCCCTCCTCCCGGCTGCTCCTCTGCAGCCGACACTGACCTCTGACCTCCTTTTCATTTTCATTACTTTTGTTTTTTCCCTCCCGGTTGACAGCCATAAACCACAGCGAGGAGTGTGTGTGAGGCCGGGCTCGTATGTGTCAATGCTCGTCCTGTAAAAAGCACAAGAATAGATTTGCGGGGTGATTGACAGCTGCATGGGTGTTTGACGGACAGGCCGTTTTGTTCCTGAGCGGCTGTGAGGCTGACTCCCAGGGCGCACCGGGACAGCGGCTGTATAGAAGCAACACGGCCCACGGCGAAGATGCACAAGTTGGTGAGGGTAGGGGGTCGGGCAGGGTTGGGGGCCGGCTCCTCACCTCTGTACACCCACGGCTTTAACAGCAGGGTTGGAGGTCGCGGCTGGAAGTGCATCACTCGTCAGGCTGTCATCACTGCGGAGACCAAAGAGTTTCTTTTTTAGCAAAGTACACTTGTTTATCTCCCCCTCTCCCCCCCTCCCCCTCATGCAGGATGTAGCAGCTTAGCAGGATTTTCAAATTGTCACCGTTGCTCACTCATTATCGATCCATCGTCTTCCACACATCTGGGCTCAGTTTGCAGAGGCAAGTAGGGCGTCCCAGATGTGCATCGACCTGGTCGTGCGATCTTAGTGGATTTTGAGGCATTCCACATTCAAATGGGAGATGGAATCCCTCCGGCAGGTTCTGGAACTGCCCTGGGGTCTGGTCCCAGTTGTGCATGCCCGTAAACCTCCAAAGGAAGGAACCCGGGAGGAAGCGTCCTGATCAGAAACACCTCAGCTGTCGCCTTCTGAAGTGAAGGTCTGAAGGTCTGAGGTCCTCACCCTGATCAGCTGACGCTGCACTGACCCGCTCGTCCATCTCATGCTTCATCTTCCCCTCACTAGAAAAGAAAAACCTGGGAGACTCAATTCAGACGCATATGCGATCTACATCTTTTCTGCTGCAGTTGAGTTGGAGAATGCGGCTGCATCCAAACAAGGGCTCCTACTTTCTCCCTCCGCCAATGTGGTGTAAATATTTGTGATGCAAATAGAGCGAGTGAGAGAAAAGCAGAGAAAACTTTGTGTTTAAAAACTCGACTGCGGCTCAAACAAATACAAACCTTAAGATTTTACCAGAACCGTGTGCGGTATCTAACCCCAACCTCCAGGTTCCAGTTGGACTCGTGGTACTTGTAGTTGTTGTTTTGGGAGCGCTCACCTGACTTGACTTATAATTCTCCTCGTGTTCCTTCGTATTCCTAGAATTCATCAGCGAGCGACTTTGCCTCTGGAAATCC